CGCGCTTATTTTGGTGTTGTTGTGGTCTTCGTGAAGTTGAGTCGTGCTGGAGGGATAGACGATGGTCCACGAGCTTGTTTTTCTTGTCGATGTGTCGGACGTGGGACCTTGGTGTGACCACGGCAAGTGTCCAGCCGTGCCGGCACGATGTTTTTCGCCAAGCTGTCCCCAAAGTTGACGTAACAAAGCGTGCTATGCTGGACAGCAAAGTTCTGAATGAATGCAGCTGAGTTCCTGGTCATGCAGTTTCATCATGTCAGCCAACTATCCCAGAACACATCTATGCAGCAAATCAAGTTGTATCCCGTAGGATGTCTAGTAAGCGCTGCATTTGCATGTTGTGAGTGTTCGTCTTTCGATGATGATATGGAGAAGCTGTCCCCCAAGCGCAGCTCGCGGTGGTCTGCAAGCAGTTCGCACGCGACACATGCGTCGCCACGGCATGCTTCACCGCGAGTGTCCACTTTCCTGGATGGAGGAGCAGAAGCGGAGCGACCGGCTTGGCTTCCGTCTGAGGGACCTGGAAATCACCACGTGCCACCTGAGATGTGGGCGATGTCAGCAACCCAATTCCACGGGTTTCTTGCTGCCTGCAAGACCACCAGTTTCTACGACGAGCTACTACAGAGGACGGACGGTAAAATGAACATGTACGACGTTTGTGATGCCTTCGTCAAGCCTTGGACGACTGGCACGGGCAACAGTGTAGCCCTGCTGCTGAACAACCAGCAGCCATTACCAGTGGAGTTGATGATCTCACATGCCTGGGCAGAGGAGATCGACGAATGCGCTGAGGCGCTCATGATGCACTTCGTACGCTTCAACATCTTGGAGAACACGGCTTGCTGGTTCTGTGTGTTCTCGAATTATCAGCCAGGCGACTGTTTCACAGTCCAGGAGCAGATTGCACTTGATCCATTTGCCAAGGTCTTAGCGGCCATTAACCAGCTGGGCTGTGAGGAGGGTTTCGAAGATGCGCGCCGAGGGATGGTCGTGATACACACATCGACTTCAGAAGTGTATGAACGTCTCTGGTGTGTGTTCGAAATCGGGAAGGCCTCTCTCGAGGGTGTTCCAACCAGAGCCGCGTCTTCCTACGCCTACGTTGTCGCTCAGACCGGGAAAAGCAAGGAAAGCCTCAGAGTGCTGACGGAAAATGCGAGGTGCTCAGTGCGCGAGGACGAACAGCGGATTCGCGAGCTGTTGGTCAGCGAATTCGGGGGTGCTGAGATGTTGAACAGCACGATCTGGGAGTTCCGCATGGCGATGATGAACCAGATGGGCTATGAGCTTCGCTCGGGAGGATGGTATGCCGTTCCCAACATGAGCTTTTTCCGCAAAGGCAAAAACGCTGCTACCGACCTTGTTCAGCTGCAGGCAGCGAGCCTGCGAGTGTTGTCTGACAGTGCAGACTACAAAAGTTGCTGCTCGAGTAGCCAAAACATGACCAACAGGAGAACCCACGAGTGAGTGTCCCCCTCAAATCCCGAAGCCCCCTAGGCCCCCTGAACCCAAAACTCTAAACCCCCTGAACCTTAAACCCGAAACCCTAAACCCCCTGAGCCCTAAACCCGAAGCCCTAAACCCTACCTACTCTAAGCCCCACCCCCAGCCCTCAGCCCGAAGCCTTTTAGCTGCTGGATCAGGCCGGGCGCTGCGCGTCAGCTTTACCGGAGAGTTGGGTCTGGGCCCCGGCATTAGGTCTTAGGCTTGCAGAGTGAAGGGACTCCGGGTCTAAGGTGTCGAGTTTAGGGTTTACGGTTTTAGGGTTTGGGTTTAGGATTTATGGTTTAGGGTTGAGGGTTTAGGGTTCAGGGTTTAGTTAGAGTTCATGGACCATGGAGGGATGCAAGGAGGGAGGGAAGAGGGAGGGAGAGCTTGAATACATTGGACTGATTACCCCGGGAAGGAGGGAAGAAGGAAGCTTGAAATGCATTCACACGAGATGTCATCTCGAACAAGACATTAATTTCAATCATCAGCTTCTCGAAGTTAAGGCCCGAGTTGAGGTGTCCAGCTCATGCTGATCCTTCCTTTCGTGTATTGAGGCTCCTTACAACCGAACTATCTCAGAGCCATGACCCCGTGATGAAGAATTTAATGAATGGTTTGTAGAGTTTAGTCGAGTCGCCTTATCCAGGGCTCCTACAACTTCGGAGCGACAGCAGTGTTCGGCATCATGGCGCTATGCCGTTGTGTTACAATCTAAGCAGATATGATGATGTTCAGTATATTGCAGTATAGTGTAATATTATGCGCTATGGTATGATATGTTTTGATATGATATGGTTTCTTAATATGATATGATATGGTATGATCAGCTGATCTGGTATGATAACATGAGCGAACACATCATAATATGATATAGTATAGTGAGTGCAGTATAATACAATTGTGATATATGATATAAGCCCGAAACAGCAAGGTTGGGAGCTCCATCCAGCCACCGGCGATGTCGCCCCGCTGTGCCCGGGCTTGCAGGTTCAACGCCATATTTTGGGCTGGGGCGCGGATTCGAGAGCATCTTTTCTTGAGATCATCGAGCGGCACCTCTTCTGTTGCAAGAATTGGGAATGTCGAGGATTCTCAGCTGTAGTTCTTGCCCCGCTGGGCAGCTGTCAAGCCAAGCGTTTGTTGCTGAATCTGGGTTTCGTTACACTTTGCTTTCGGGGAAGACTCAACCGAAGCCCGAATGCTTAGTGCACAACCGCAAAACAAGCAGCATCACAGTAGGTTGGAGCGAATTTATCATAAATGCAAGTTCAGTCGATGCACCCAGAGAGTTTCTTCCCTGCTGCTTTTGATGTCGAACCGAGGTACCGGGCGCTGAAAGCTGCGGAGCCGCGCTTGAATGCACCTGCAGCAGCAGGGAGAGATTTTGCTGTCGATGTTTTCGGGTTTAGGATTTATATAGGGTTTAGGGTTTGCTGAGGGTTTAGTTAGGGTTTTGGATGTGGGTAGGCTTGCATTCGAGATTGCGATTGAACGAAGCGTAGATCCTCAAATCCATCATCTAATGCCCTTTGCTGAGGCTGGAAGTTTTCTCCACGAGCCTCCCGAAACCGAAATCCAAATCCCAAACTTCTCGACGGGGCCCAGGACTGGGGAGGATATGCCATGGGCTCCTTCCGCCGGGGGCTCAGGCAACGGGAGGCCCAGATCTCGACGGGTTCTTGCGGCTTTGAGGGTTTCGTCCTTACTTTGGGGTTTAGGAGAGATTGAAGGTTTAGGACTTGGGGTTTTCAGGTGTGTGCTTTCAGGCTCGCGAGGTGCTTTGGCTACGTCTGTCATGAAAGGATACAGTCGCAGAGCTGTGGTGCCAAGAGGTCGCTGGAGCCGACAGGAGACAGCACTACAGAATCCCGAAGAATTCGTATGACTATGCCGTAGGGTTCCTTATCATGAGGGTTTGGGGTTTAGGGTTTATTACGAATCTATAAGACTATAATGCACCTCCTGTATTGCTCGGAAGTTTTGGAGCCCAAGCCCCTTTTTTTTCCTGTAAGTCTAGACCTCCCAAAGATGACTTCCAGCTTCAAGATCCGAACATGCCTGGTGAGCCCCAAGACCCCTCCTCTGCAAGGATCCCTCTCAGGGATACTCTTCACTGCTGCTTCTCTTTATGGACATGTGGTAGGGCACTGTAGGGGCCTTAATAATTAAAATAGGGTTTGGGGGTATATTATACTATAACTATAATACGCAGCCCCAAAACCCTGTTCTAGTTTTTGAGGCCCCCACATGACTTGGCTAGTAAGGCCTGGAGAAAGGCTTCAAGGCCTTCGGCTCCGTACCTCCGGCGCGACGTTGGAAGTCTCAGCTTCAGGTTTCCCTTGTTTCTAGGGTTCCTTATTATGGTTCCCTATATCTATATATCTATATATCTATATATCTATATATCTATATATGTATGTATATATGTATGTATATTTCCCTTCGCTTCCGGGTCCTTGAGCTTTCTTCCTTCGGGACTTGGGCTCGGGGTTGGGGCCTTGCGTCCTGAGGTTTCAGGGTCCTCTGGGAACCCGGAGCTCCGAATGATTAGGACCGGGCCGCTGCAAGTCGAAAGCCCAACATCCGAAGACTTGATGCCTGGACAAGTAGCGCCATTAACCCCCGAGTTCTATTTGTGCTTATGTACTTGTGTCGGTGCTAAGATACCCTCTCCGGAGGAATCACGCCGTCCGCCTCCTCCCCCGAAATGGCCAGGATATGACTAGGGACCACCAGGCCCTGGAAGCCGGGATCAGTGGAGGGCTCGGTCACCGTCGCTTCCAACCTCAGTCAGAATCCGTGGATTCTCACGATGACGGGGTGAGGAGGATTCCCAAGGTGCAAGATTGAAGAAGCCTCCGGGTACAGGGTCTTGAGAGACTAGGATGTCGCCGTCAAAAGTCGCTAGCCGAGACATTTCCAATTGCTTAGACACCCTGCAGTGCTTTTCCGCTTTAACATGCTTTAGCGTTCGTCACATGATGGTCTCGATTTGCACAACATGAAATGTTACTTTTATGTACTGCATCATGGCAGCATTCCATGTTGAACCGCGAGGCTTCCAGACACGAGTCCCAAACCTAATTATTTTCTCGATGCAGCCAGCGACTGATCGGAAGCCTGCAGATTCAGAACACTGGTGACTAGCAGAATCCTTTCTTAGCTCGCACTGCTTAGACACCATAGCTGCAAAGCCTCCAATCCTGAAGCCTATAAACAGGAAAGTCAAAAGTAGCTTGGGGCCAAGGTGGAAAGTTTCTGCGGATGGAGTCGGTCTGGCATGTTTCCTAAAGCATCGGAGACGTCTGCATCGCTGAACATGCCTCGCGCGGAATTCCTTGTTAACGTTCCGCACTCCAGGACCCATGCGATATGGACGAACGCTTGCATCCGCCTGCGAACCCCTGCGGAAGCTGTGCAACGATTTCTTGTTAACTCCCTATCCTCCAGACCGGACCGGGCACCTTTGAGCGAGAACGCTTCTACGCTACCGCGCATTCGGGAGCATGAAAACGGCCAGGAAAGACTTCATTGGCAGAGATGCCCTCGCTGCGAGCCCAGAGCCCGTGCAGCCCCCAGGCAAACGGACGAATGCGAAACGTAGTGCCTTCTAATCTTGACCCGGAGTTGGCAACTTCTGGATACCTGGTTCAGCTTCCTCACGCCTCTGGCATTTCGCGCCGTCTGGCCTTTCTTGGGGACGGTTTGCCTTGTTGTTTCGATTATTTCGCAAAGCCCATGGTTCCCTCAATGCTTGGTATACGAAATAGTCAGCTGTTGATGATTGGTCATTCCTTGTCACTGTGCAGTTGCAGCTAAGGCGAGACGACTAGTGCACCTGGCTGTTACCAGTCCGGAAGGTGCAACGGGGCTCGAGGATGATGTGCAGAAGCTTGTCTTGTGTCGTGCCTTGCAGTTGCATCCTGGTGGCAGGTGTTGACTGCGTCGGCAATGAGTCCATCTTCAACTCTGTCACAGGAGCTCTTCAAGACCGAGGGAAAGCGTCCTGATTTGTGGTTGGTTCAGTTGGTGCATGAGAGATCTGAATGTCAGTTCGAAGCCGTGAAGGAGAGGTTGTGGGCTTCACAACAAGTGGTGGGTCCAAGCCTAAGAGGCCTAAGACAGGAAGCACGTCCCGTGTGCTCAGCGACGGGTGTTCTGCACTGCTCCTCAACTGACATGGTACTGCTGCCTTGCAGAATATTTATGTCAATGGTTCATCCTGACAAGGTACGGCTACCTTGCGGAGCAGAGCATCGCCTTCGGCTACGTGCAGCCCTGAGTTGTTAAAGAGTTGTGCGTGCAAATTGCCACACTACTACGCATCTTTCTATGTTCCAGTGTTCCAGTACATACTTGTGCTGAGCGTGGTGGCGCCAAACACAGAAGAGCAGTCACTTCGACCTTGCTTTACCTAAGCATCGAACGTGACGATGGTTCTTTGTTCGTGCTGTTTAATCACAGCTGCTGCTGCGGCTGCTGCTGCTGCTGCTGCTGCTGCTGCTGCTGAGTACTACTGAGTTACTGGAACAGCAGCTACAGCTCCTCCCACGAGTACCTCACGACTACGACGACGACTACTACTACTCCTGCTCCTACTCCTACTCTACACCACGACTTTGTACATCTTGTATTTGTCAAATGTATGTAGGCATGCAAGTATTCTACCCTGTTCTTTTCGTGATGTCTTATCATGTGACACAGTGAGTCGTGAGTCACATCGCACGCAGTACTGCGTGATGTGCATATGGTCGTGCTCTTGACTTTATTTTGGTGGGTTGCTTGTTATGATTATGCTGTAAAGGACCCCCCAAAACCCATTCTAATTAGGGCTCCTTATTATGATTATGCTGTAAAGGACCCCAAAACCCTATTCTATTATGATTATACTGTATATATACCCCCAAAACCCTATTCTGACTATTAAGGCCCCCTACAAGGGGCCCCTGCCAGCCACCCACCCCAGGTGTCCTCCGCGGCCTTAGAGTCTGGAGTGCCTCTGGCCATCGAGGCCTCGGACGAAGAATAGGAAGTCTTTATGATGCACCCTAAGGGTCCAAGTAGTCCTTATACTTATAGTTTTGGCACCCATAAAAGGCTCCAAAGTCCGTAAATAATGAATACTTGGACCCTTAGGGGCATACTTCGGGGTGCGGCTTGAATTTTGAGTTTAGTTACAGCTCTCTTATGGGGGGATTTGGCGTTGCAGGCGTGAGGCTTCAGATTGTCGATTTGCGGGTGGTTCGGGCCGATGCTTTTGGGGCTGAGTCTGGCTGTTAGGTGTTAGAACTACGGGTCGCAATCGTGTCAGCTGGCTTTGGGCGACATTGAGTGGGGTCATAAGTTCAGGATTCAGCACCTTTTGCTGTTTCAGATTTGGGTAGAGGATGGATGTTGAGAAGTGCGCAAACTGTTTGTGAAACTTTCTATAAGCCAAATTTCTGCCGGAAGCACTCTGGCGGGATAGACCGTGAAGTGGGGACCCAACTTGACCACCCGAAGTCCTTTAAAATTATTCGCATCCCACGTTGTCCTATGCTTCCTTCAACTCCCAACACCAACAACAGCTTGATGCTTCGCTCAGGTCATTGGTCAGCTGTGTGAAGCAAAGGTGCAAGAAGGGTCTGCCCAACATGTTATGAGTTTGGATCATAGCGGGGCTTAAACAGGTTTCGACAAAAGGTTCCTGAGGGTTACCTTTCAGGCCCGTTAGTGGTGGTGTTTGCAGGCCCTCGGGTATTTGGGGTATTGTTGCTGGGATACTGGGCTTCAGAAATTTGTATTGTCCAGGAGTCCAGGAGCATAGTTGCGCCGGTGTATCCGCCCCAGTACAACGCGAAAAGCCTAGACTTGCAGATCTTACGTAGTAGTGTTATAAGCTAAGTTTCCAAAACCCTTGTGCTGCTACTGCGGGCGATTGCGATACAGCTTGGTGGCTTGGCCTGGCCCCGAGCCGAGCCTACGATGCAACAGTCAACAGAGATCCTTTTGCAGCTATGCGAGTTTGATTTCCGATATGTTCCAACATATGAGGCGTGAACGGGTGACTTCTGCAGGGTGCATTGACACTTAGAGTCCTGGCTGCTGTGGACAGTTCTGGACAGTTCGGCATCTCTCTGCTGGAACTTCAGGGCTGCAGAGGTCTAGGACGAATCAGGGCCATGCAGCAAAGACAAGACTCGGATGGAATAAAGAATGACGGACTCCTGTTGGTCATGCTCTAACCGACACTCCCAGTCAAAGACCCTGGGCAAAGGTCAAAGAGGGGAAGTCTGAAGCGCGCGACATAACCGGTCGGATTGAAACCTTTTTCCAGAGGGATGCACACTCCGAATCTTAGAGCTGCATTTGCCAATTTCAATATAGTGGCCAGAATGATCAGAGCCGAGCCCTGATTATAACTGTGAATACACCCAAGGTCCGGTTCTAGCTATAAAGACTCCTACATTAGATCCTTTTTGCCCAATCTCCAAGTGGATGGCCAGGGCTTTCCCGGTCAAGCAGGCGCTGCTCACAGGGGTGCCAGATTGAGGGTACTCATGCCTGTCTGCGACTAACTGTATGAGGCAGTGATGGTTCAGGGTTCGGGGATAAGCACTGGCTCTCAACCTAGCCGACGTTGCCAATGAAGAGCAGAAGTGGCGAAGGCAGTATAGACCTTGCTGCTCAGGCTGATGGCGATTCGCTTAAGGTTGAGCAGGCCGGCCCCAGTTCGTCGAGAAATAGCAAGTTGCCGTTGGATCTGATGCAACCCACGCAGCTGCTACAGAATAGTTGCTACATAGCCACAGTGCATGAAGACAAGTCTCAGCAACAGAACAGTACTGCTCTATGTTTGTATGATATGCACATATCTGGACATGCAAGTTCAGACGTATCACAGTATCACATGCATAGACTGCATAGACATAAATGCAGATCAGTATGACAACCCTGATCGCTGATATGAAACATATGTAGATATGTATGTGGTTGCTTGTTCAATGCAAAAAGCTCGCACACCCCCTGACAGGCTGCGGGCTCCACAGCCAGGCTCCGACCGCAAAACCGCTTCACGCTATAAACTCTCTTCTAGGGCCTAGGGTTGGCATCTTTGTCGGAGAGAGAGGATGCTTGGGCTCCGACGGTTGAAAGCGTGGCAACCTGGCCAGGCCTAGTCTCTGATCCTCATCGCCTCATCGATTTAAGCAGCCTGGCAGCAGACAGGTTGGGCCCCCATTGTTGGCCGACACGAAGCCTAAATCGCCTGCATGACCACAATTGAAGGTGTCTGGTCAGTGACTTGCTCTACTGTGGCAGAGTCTTTGGGAAAGGGCCTATACACTCAGTCCTGTTGAACGACCTCTTTCCCACACGGCCAGTTGAGGACACGACTGAAACAACCTGTAAATATTTGTACATACGGAAAATTCGCTCGGTGCAGCTTCCTCTTTTTTGGGCAGGGTAGCCCCCAAAAGCGCTATGATTCGGACTACTCAGAGCTCAAGTCGCTCCTGTGCCACAGTGGCCAAGGGTAAAGTTGCAGAGGCATCCTTCTCTTCATTGGCAGCGGCTTGCGCCAGAGATCTCGGCATTTCAACAGCTGGGAGGATCCTGCAGTCGATGCCACCTGACCAAGGAGTCAAGTCGCGAGACGATGTGACGAACAAAATGAGGGAGGGTGGGCTCGGAGAGTTCCTGTGACTTGCTGCTGGCATTCTGGGAGAAGGGAGACCAGGGGTCGTCAGATGAGACTTCTCGGATTAGCAACAACCTCCCCATGTTGATGCATTTGTATCTGCTAATCTTTGCTCGAGGACCTGTAGAAGCCTCAATTTGAAGTCTACTGTGATGCACACAGGTTTGCCCATATAAGATTATATAGTTGCCTTCCACCCTACGAAGTCGGTGAGCACCGATCCCTGAGTTGCTCCTTGTTCGGTCCAGGGCTCAAGAAGAGGGCCCGCCATGCATGGAAGCGAGGCATTTAGCAAATCTTCGCCTTGAGGCCTCATAGCTCGTATCTCTTCGCCATACCTAAGACAGCAAGGTAACATGTGAGACATGCTTCAGCAAGTGTTGTACGACCTCTGATTAGGATCTTCTAAACTGATTCGAGTGGCAGTCACCCTACTGCCAGCTTCAAGTTCACACTAGCAAGGATCACCACTCGTACCGGAAGATTTCTGCAACTTACATTTTTCCGTCTCGCGCCGCCTCGCCTGGGCTCTTTCCCCGGAGGGTGTGTGTTCAAAGGAATTAGAGCGATTGGTTGTGTTGGTTGGTGATGTAGTGTAAAGAGAAAGTAGTGCAATGCAATGTAATGCAACGTAACTTACTGCAAGGTAATGTTATATAATGTACGAATGTATGAATGCACAGGACAGATGGCTTGATGGGTGGATGCATACATGCATGGATGCATGCAACGTATGTATGCATGCATATGTGTAGTATGTACCTATGTATCTGTGTGTCTATGTATCTCTGTTTGTTTGCCTGCCTGCCAGTCTGTCTGTCTGTCTGTCCGTCCCTCCGTCCGTCCGTCGGGCTGTCCGTCGGTCTGTCGGTCGGTCAACGTGCATGCAGGTGCATAAACGTAATACATGTAAATAAGTCAAACTCTCTGGCTCTCTTTACATGAGAGAGAGCGAGAGAGAGAGTGTGTGTGTACATGTATGAATGTCCTTACGTTACGTTTACATGTGCACATACCTGTAGGGATACATAGGCATGCGTATGTGTCTACATGCAGCTTGAATCGTGCTTGTCAGCTTGGCTTCAATGCTGGCAATACTGCTCAGGTTTAAGATCCAGCGATGCCCGAAGGGAATATCCCAGCGGCGAAGTTCGCTCGAAATGGCGCAGAGGTAGGAGGGCTTCAGCCAAAAAAACTTGAAATCTTTCCTAGCATCATCCTGCGATTGCGGGTGAGTACTGGGCTTCCTTGTTTTCTGGAATTCCCTTGTGTACCTTTGCACTGTGTTTTTGGAGCAGGCAGGAAATTAGACATACGTCTAGTAACATGTACAGCGCAGTGCAATTTTCTAAAATATGAGGAGGTATAGTAGGATGACCTTAACCGACTGAATTCTCTATACTTCGCAGAGCAAAATACAGGGCGTAGTGTAGCATGCGGCAACAGAAGGCGATGTGTGTGGCTAGAGATCTTCTCTATGTTGGACTGTACTGCACCATATACCAGGAAATCTATCGCTGTCTGAATTCTACGATGTTGAAGCGCCTGGCTTAGCGATGCGATGCCATGTCATGCCATGTTTTGTACTTGTGACGATGTGCTGTATGTGATTTCGTGCTTGCTCCCAGCAGTGTCTTGCAGTCTTGGCTCACCCGCACGAACACAAACACAGCTCGCTGTCTCTCCTTTTCTCTACCCAACTTTCGTTGCATGTCTCTGGGTGCCGCGCGACTGTCGGGTTATGGCAGTCGTAGTGTGGAGCTCTTCGCAAGAGTCTTTTCCTGTTGCTGCCTTTTTCCTCCCGAGGTTGCTTAAACATGGCGAAGCTGGCTAGTGGCAGCTAGCGTGTAGGGGGCACGGCATCCCTGCCGGAGGGTCGGGATCGTGGCATTTTCTTCGCGGCCTCCAAACAGCCCCAGCCTTGCGAATACATCATTGACAAGCACAGGGCAGGGGCAACCTATGAAAATCGTTGAAAGCAATCATATCAACATCATGTTTGGCACTGCCCCGCAGGAAGTGCTCTACCGCAATGAACAGCACAACACCCGACAGGACGGAATTTGCTTGGAAGGGAGCTTTGCACTTTCTTGTCATGCAAGTTCGGAGTGCCAAGAGGTCAGACTTTAAGATATTTCGAGGTACATTCATTCCGCTCCTGGATCAAACCGGCGCTCACAATGCCCTCAAAGATCTAAGTCTCTAGGCTTCTGGAGTTTTCGGCGCAGAGCCGAATGAGAAACCCTAAGGCCTTGAAGAATAGCATGACTATTCATTCAGGCCCGTACATTCCGCTTCTTTTCAGGGGTGTATGAAGTTGTATGAACATCTTG